GCAGCTCGCCTATGGTGGAAATTCGGCTCTATCTAGACGTTCTTGTGTCACTGCCTGGTTGAAAATTGTATGTTACCATCGAATAAGAGTACTGAAGCAGTCTTTCTGAAACCACGTGCACCATTCAAACTGGCTACCTTCAACGTTCGCACACTTATTCAGGTCGGACAACAGAAATATCTGGCTGTCTTTGGAAAGTCTTAATATTGACGTTTGTTGTCTATCCGAGACCCGTATTCAAGACTCTGGTGAAGTACTACAAATTCGCTCTCCATCTATTACTTCAAAAAGCTTGTTCTACGTGTGTTTATCTGGGGACCCTGTGGCATCTTCGTCTGGTCTTGCTGGCGTTGGCGTCGCACTAAGCGCAAGAGCTGAGGCAGCACTGGTCGACTGGATCCCCATTAACAGTCGGTTATGCGCTGTGAGATTAGAAAGTTCCATCAAAATGAGAAGAAATCGGCGTGAGAAGCGATCTCTTTTCGTCATCTCCGCCTATGCCCCGACAGATTGCAGCCCGGATGCAATCAAGGATGAATTCTACCACCAGTTAACTGTTCTTCTCCAGAAAGTGCGTTCGACAGATATTGTAATACTAGCCGGAGACTTGAATGCTCAGGTCAGGCGTTTAGGCACAGAGTCGTTTAGGTGGCCGATGGGGACTTGTTAGTCGCGGGACGGATAACGGAGAACGTCTACTGCAACTATGCACAGAATACGACCTGTTTCTGCATAGCACTAACTTTCGGCACAGTTATCGCCGATGTGCCATCTGACGTCCTCCTTCTGAATCTCAAGCCTGGACTCAGGTTGATCACATCGCGATCATCTACCGCTGGCGTGGTTGTGTACAAGACTGCTGCTCCTTTTGGAGTACCTATCTGGAATCTGATCATGCTCTGGTCTGCGCCAATCTTACCTTACTTTTCAGTGGACAACGAAGTGACCGCCACCAAAGGATTGATGTTAGCAAGCTGGCTGCAACTTCTGTTGCTAGTAAGTAACAAAGCGAGATAGCTTCTAGGCTAGCCACTATTCCACCGAAAAGTATAGATGTGCACTGGTTGCAATTGCATTACGCCATGAAAAAGGCGGATACAGTCTGTTGTGGGTTCGCGAAACGTCCCGCTTACAAGCACTGGGTTTCTTCTGGTTCCTTAAAACTGATTGAAGCCCGTCGGTCTACTCCGGGTGACCGTGAGTTTGACCACAAACGAAGAGTGTTACATACTGAAATTGGGCAAAGCTTGCGTAAGGACCGAGAAGCCTGGTGGTCGGAGCGTGCCAGTGAGTTGGAAGCAGCAGCTGCATCCGGCTACTGCCGGAAGCTCTTCCAACTCATCCGAGCCAGTGGCAGCAAGAAGTCTGGTGTGAGCGAAACAATCTGCGAGGATGACGGAACGCGAATCACTAACATCCATCGACGTCTTGGACGATGGGCAGGATTTTTCGAAGGGCAGTTCAACTGGCCTGCTTCTCTGGTAACATCAGTCAGACTGTCCTGCTCTCCATGGCCGGTGACGACTGATCCGCCAAATGAAGCGGAAGTCCGCAAGGAACTCCAACTCTTGAAACGTTACAAATCACCGGACCCAGATGACTTACCCCCGGCTCTTTTTAACGATGGTGGTGACTTTCTGACTAAGGAACTGACAACGTTGTTTACAAAGATCTGGGAACTAGAGAGTGTACCAACGTCATGGAATGAGTCGATAGTTGTCTCTATCTTTAAAAAGGGTTCACGTCACCCATGCAAGAACTATCGGTGGATAAGTCTACTTCTGATTGCGTACAAGCTATTGGCTTCCGTTATACTTTGTAGGTTGTTCAAAACCCGAGAACGATTGACTCGCGAGGAGCAGGTTGAGTTTCGTTCTGGTTGAGGATGTATTGATCATATCTTCACCCTCGGATAAATTTTATAACACCGCCATACTTATCAACGGCCAACAATCGTAGTGTCTCCTTAACTGCAAGATTTCTTCTGAGTGTACCTTTTCGTCTCCCCCATTATTGTTCTCTTTTTTTATAATTCCATACGCTCCTTACCTTTTTTCCCTTCTCTTTAAATTCTCATTGTTTTGTGTGGCGCATATATTTTTGGTGCCCCTTTGTTCCAATATTTATGTGTTCAAATAAATAAATAAAATAAAATAAACGAATCAGTGAATTATCTACTAGAAGCCACAGTTTTGATATCCTCTGCTCAGTTTTCCAAAAGAAGGCTTGACGACTACTCTAGCTCTGTAAGTAATGAGGGAAATTCATCTAAATGTAACTCCACGATAGTTTCTATCATTTACTGATTGTTATGTTTTTCAGTTTCCAGAAGGAATATTACACGAACCATACCCTTTTACAACCAAGAACGGGACATAACTACTCATATGTAGATCCAAGGGAAAGAACAGCTCATTAATTCTGCCAAAGAAAGTTGATGTTTGGGTAACTTTTCGCCGATTTGTGAATAAAAGCGGAGAACAATGGACTTTTTTTTGATATTTTAAAGTGTAAAATAGTCCATCTGAGACATGTTTCAGACTATGAGTACGATCTAGCTAACCTCCCTTTAAAGGTATTTTAATTTAAAAAGGATCTAGGGGTGTTGGTACCTTATGATCTGAAGTTTTATGCTGAGACACGAATGCCTTCTGGGCAAGCCTTACACTGGTGACGTTAAAGCGCATTTTTTAGCCAATTCGACGATAGAAATTTGCGTTTGATCTTCCACAGTTTTATTCGGTCCCATTTATGGAGTGGAAACATGGTGTTTCCTCTCTCACTTCAGAGGAGTGAAGATAGATTGGAACATATCTAAATACGAGCCACAAAACCAGCCTTATGACGAGTGCATCTAATCACTGGACCTTTGCTTATTTGAGCCTAGGCACCATGAAGGTGACCTTCTATTGACTTAAAGCATTCTAAAAGCTTCTGGAAACCCCCCTAACTATATTGGTGAAAGCTTCATCCGCAACTCAGTATGCCTTTCCGAATTGAGCCTGAGCGCCAACTTGGTGTACCAGAAACTGCCTCACCTAAGAAAATACACTTCTTCTGACCCGGATATGGTTCATTCTACAATACTGAGGGAGGCAGCTTCAGTCTTCGAAACACCGCTTAGCGTGATGTTCTCACACTCGCTAAGTCGAGGCGAACTACCGGAAATTTGGAATCTGGCTCACATCACACCGATTTTCAAAGGAGGTCGACGCAGCGAACCTTCGAGTTGCCGACCGGTGTCCATTCTCTCTATACTTTCAAAAGTTATGAAGTCCCTGATATGCAACGGTATACATGACTATTTACTATCCTTAAACTTCTTTTCACCCCAACAGCATGGTTTCAGGAATCGTCATTCTTGTATAACCAAGCTTCTGACTGCAATGGACAGATGGACAAGCATCCTTGATCGCAAGGAAAAGGTTGATGTCATTTACATTGACTTCTCAAAAGCTTTTGATATGGTCAACCATCTATGTCTTATCAAAAAGCTCAGACAATTGGGTATCAAACCGCCTCTAATTGATTGGCTCATTTCATATCTGAAAAATCGACATTTCAAGGTTAGGGTTAATTTCGATTCCTCTCAGGATATGGAATGTTCTATTGGGGTCCTCAGGGTTCAGTACTAGGACCTTTCCTCTTCATGATTTATGTAAATAATCTTCCACAACAGGTATCGTCAGACTTATCAATTTCGCTGATGACGTGAAACTTTGGAGAGATAGAGATACGCAACCAAGAGGATATACTGGCACTTCAGGAGGATCTGACTCGACTTCAAAGTTGGGCAGACGACAACGGACTTACCTTTAACACTTCAAAGTGTAGAGTAGTCCATCTGCGACACGTCGCAGATTACAGTTACAACTTAGGAAACTCCTCTCTAGTAGTATCCCGAGTCGAAAAAAATTTAGGAGTTCTAGCGCCCTACGACTTAGTCTTACGACAACTGTGACAGAAATGCCTTTCGAGCAAACCTTGCATTGGTAACATTGAAGCGCGTTTTTGGTCAGTTTGATGGAAGAACGTTCCACATAATCTTCAGTAGTTTCATTCGTCCCCATTTAGAGTACGGAAACATAGTGTTCCCTCCTACACTCCAAAAGGATAAGGACACTCTGGAGCGTATCCAACGGCGAGCCACGAAATCAGTTCGGGGAGTCAAATTTAAACCTTACGATGAGCGCATCCAATCACTCGACCTTTACCCATTAGAGTATAGGCGTCTTAGAGGTGACCTTATAATGGCTTACAGTATCCTTAACACTCCTGGACATCCTCTTAAACACCTACTTAAGCTTAGTCGCAAAACTAACGTAAGGAGTAATACTCAGAAATTAGAGATACAACATAGTAGAACGGACTGCAGGCACAACTTCTACTCCTTAAGAGTTGCCAAATGCTGGAATTCGCTGCCAGCTGAGCTAGTCCAAGCAACTTCCCAGGAGTTCTTTAAGAGGCGACTTTATCTATTCTTAAGGACTAAGGATAGTATCTCACTATGATTTACCAATTTCTTTTTTTCTTTTTTAACGTTAATATACCTAGGTTCTTGCCTGGAGGTATTGGTGATCCCCTGCTACTAGATACGGAAGTCTGTTAAGCGAAAGCTTCTTCTATTCCGTCCACAACCATTTGAACCATTTGAATATTCCATTCAGATCCATTCGAGGCGACTTGATTACAGTTTTCAAATTGCTTAGTGATAAATTTGCACCTGATATGCCCTCATTCTTCCTGTCTTCCAAAACAGAGAATTTACGAGGACACTCTAAAAAAGTTCACAAGCCCAGAACAAATTACTTGTCAGCTGATTATCGACTTTCCCACCGAATCATCAACGAGTGGAATTCATTACCTCAACAGGTGGTTGAAGCTCCATCCGTAGATTCTTTCAAAAGAAAGTTGGATCAACTGAGAGAACACAATTGCCAGGAATAACACAGGCCATCAAGCCTCCTGTCCTTTCCAAACTGAAACTGATTTGAAACACCAAACGCGCTTCTTACTTCCATATGCGTTACAAATGAGTTCACCAAAGAGACGTTGTTTCAGACAACGGGACGCAAGTGAAAGCAGTACCGAAGATGAAATGTAAAATCTAACTGGTCACTCAATCTCTTTTTCTAGTGTTGAGGGTGAAAAAAGTGGTGAATCCAGTGGACTTGAAGAGTATGAGAAAGAAGAGTTAACTCGTCAAAACGATTTAAAGGAACGTGATGCCTTCGTCAAACGTCTTGTTGACCGGGATCAGCAACAAACTAAAGGGGTTTCTTCTAGGTCCACTAGTAAGCATGAGGAAGCTTTGAGAAAAATAACGAGTGGTGAAGTTGTATGTTCAGTTATCACAGCGTTCCCTAACGTTTCTCTAGAGTCGTGAAGAAATGATTGCCGAACTGCGCAAAGCATCTAGACGAACATATCTACGGAAAAGACAGTCTGACAAACTTGCAGATCTTCAAGCGGAAATTCAAGATGAGGAACTATTTTTTGAAAATGAAGAGTATGAAATTGGATTATTCCTTACTGAATTTCTAGATTAACTGAGAACGAAAAGGCCGAACTATTATATAAGAAAACTATTTTGGCGGTTGCGAAATCCCACCAACAAGCAGGAGAACTGGAAAATATCTTTCGTTATTACATTCCCACTGAAGAAAAGGTATTCTTGTTTATTTTGACTCATTATGTTACCAGCGACCAGAAGATCACGAAGTCAAAGGATCTGAAAGTAAATTAAATGATGAAGGCAAGAGATGGGAACAGGAACATCTTTCCTCGGCACTTTATTCTTTCGGTGCCAAAGACAAAGTTGAACAAGAAGTATGTTCACTGTGTTATTACTTTTTGAGATCATTTTAGTTATCACTTGCTTTTTGTCAAGTGTTATGTGCTATTCTTTATCGAAAATCTCAGAAATTCGTTTCTTAAGGTTTTATACTATTTGGATGACATTAAATACTAGGATTGAAAACACGGGTTTCTGAATGTTTCAGCAGTCCTTACACATGTATGTCGACAATTGCTAATCAAGATTTTTATTGCTACTGAGTGGGAGGGGAAATATCGTAAGTTTTAGCCATCCACAGTTAATCAAACTAACCCAGTAAAACATTGTTGGGTTAGTCATTATCGTCAACATTTAAAATAGTTAGAAGCTAAAATGTACGCGAGAAATGTATCAATGGATGAAGTGAACAGCACTAGTATCACTTGTTCCAACCGGTCGCGATGTTGCTACAATTATTGTAATTGTCCGTTTTTGGATTTCCAACAATTATCTGCTATTTCTTAGGAACAATCAACTGACTCGGGGATTTTATTAAAAATAAACCCAGCAGTAAAATCTCTGTGAGTTAGTATCATAGGTTGGCTGTGCTTGAGTTTTGTATAAAAATCACTATGTTAAAGTTATTTAAAGTAGTAAACTCCGTCATTTCACTCTAAGTCTCATTCACATGTTAAATGCATATGTTGTATAAAGGTAGCATATATTACTCAACTATTTAAAAGTAAAACGCCCTGGTATGGCCGAGAGCGGGGAGGGTTCGCCCTCCCTCTCGAAATACTCTCACACGGCCACGCGTATACAGCCTCTGCCAGGGAAGTCCTACTCACTGCCTTCTCGTGGCGGGGGTGTTGTTTACGAAAATGAGAGGACGAAAAGCGAACGTCCGGCGCTATAACCGGATCCCAATTCTATGGTGCACATGGGCTCCAGTATCCTGAAGGAACAAATGGCGTATGAACCAACTTTTGGTCACCGGCTTCCATGGGACTGCATCTCCTCACGATGCTCCACTGCCTTGTGGACTAGACCTTTAGGTCAAAGGCTCGGGGTGTGGCCCCCTAAGAAAACCACCTGCTTCGGTTTGGGCACCCGGGCAGTATCTCAGCCCACACACCAAAACATGATGAAATATTCGCTTACGGAAAATATTCGTTCTTCTCTGACTAACATTGAAATGACTGATACTATTATTATTATTATTATTGTTATTATTATTATTATTATTATTATTATTATTATTTACTACGTCATTTACTCACTATCTCCTATTTCTACTTTTTGTATCCGTTTCGACTCAGACAGCAGCTCGCCTATGGTAAAAATTCAGCTTTATCTAAACGTTCTCGAGTCACTGCCTGGTTTGAAAATTGTATGTTACCATCGAATAAGAGTACTGAAGCAGTCTTTCTGAAACCACGCGCACCATTCAAACTGGCTGCCTTTAACGTTCGCACACTTATGCAGGTCGGACAACAGATAGGGCTGGCAATGTCTTTGGAAAGTCTTAATATTGATGTGTGTTGTCTATCCGAGACCCGTATTCAAGACTCTGGTGAAGTACTACAAGTTCGCTCTCCATCTGTCGCTCCAAAAAGCTTGTTTTACGTGCGTTTATCCGGGGACCCTGTAGCATCTTCGTCTGGTCTTGCTGGCGTTGGTGTCGCACTAAGCGCAAGAGCTGAGGCAGCACTAGTCGACTGGATCCCCATTAACAGTCGGTTATGTGCTGTTAGATTAGAAAGTACCATCAAAGTGAGAAGAAATCGGCGTGAGAAACGATGTCTTTTCGTCATCTCCGCCTATGCCCCGACAGATTGCAGCCCGGATGCAATCAAGGATGAGTTCTACCACCAGTTATCTGTTCTTCTCCAGAAAGTGCGTTCGACAGATATTGTAGTACTAGCTGGAGACTTGAATGCTCAGGTCGGGCGTCTAGGCACAGAAGAGAGTCGTTTAGGTGGCCGATGGGGACTCGTTGGTCGCAGGACAGATAACGGGGAACGTCTACTGCAACTATGCACAGACCACAACCTGTTTCTGGCTAGCACTAACTTTCGGCACAGTCATCGCCGATGTGCCACCTGGCGTCCCCCTTCTGCATCTCAAGCCTGGACTCAGATTGATCACATCGCGATCAGCTACCGCTGGCGCGGTTGTGTACAAGACTGCCGCTCCTTTTGGAGTACCTATCTGGAATCTGATCATGCTCTGGTCTGCGCCAATCTTACCTTACTTTTCAGTGGACAACGAAGTGACCGCCACCAAAGGATTGATGTTAGCAAGCTGGCTGCAACTTCTGTTGCTAGTAAGTAACAAAGCGAGATAGCTTCTAGGCTAGCCACTATTCCACCGAAAAGTATAGATGAGCATTGGTTGCAATTGCATGACGCCATGAAAATGGCGGGTCAAGTCAGCTGTGGGATTGCGAAACGTCCCGCTTACAAGCACTGGGTTTCTTCTGGTTCCTTACAACTGATTGAAGCCCGTCGGTCTACTCCGGGTGACCGTGAGTTTGACCACAGACGAAGGTTGTTACGTAATGAAATCGGGCAAAGCTTGCGTAAGGACCGAGAAACCTGGTGGTCGGAGCGTGCCAGTGAGTTGGAAGCAGCAGCTGCATCTGGTAATTACCGGAAGCTCTTCCAACTCATCCGAGCCACCGGCAGCAAGAAGTCTGGTGTGAGCGAAACAATCTGCGAGGATGACGGAACGCCAATCACTAACATCCATCGACGTCTTGGACGATGGGCAGAATTCTTTGAAGGGCAGTTCAACTGGCCTGCTGCTCCGGCAACATCGGTCAGACTGTCCTGCCCTCCATGGCCGGTGACGACTGATCCACCAAATGAGGCGGAAGTCCGCAAGGAACTCCAACTCTTGAAACGTTACAAATCACCAGGCCCAGACGACTTACCCCCGGCTCTTTTTAAAGATGGTGGTGACTTTCTGACTAAAGGACTGACGACGTTGTTTACAAAGATCTGGGAACTAGAGAGTGTACCAACGTCATGGAATGAGTCGATAGTTGTCCCTATCTTTAAAAAGGGTTCACGTTGTTCCTGTAACAACTATCGGGGGATAAGTCTACTTCCGATTGCGTCCAAGCTATTGGCTTCCGTCATACTTCGTAGGTTGTTCAGAACCCGAGAAGGATTGACTCGCGAGGAGCAGGTTGGGTTTCGTTCTGGTCGAGGATGTATTGATCATATCTTCACCCTCCGCCAAGTGTTAGAACACCGCCATACTTATCAAAGGCCAACAATCGTAGTGTTTCTTGATATCAAGGCTGCTTTCGATTCGTTGGACAGAACTGTTCTCTGGGATTGTCTATTGAAGAGGGGTGTGCCTGAGAAGTTTATTAACATCCTAAAAGCCTTATATACAAACACCTCAGGTAGAGTGAGGGCATACAACCACCTTTCTCCACTATTCCATTCGAGCAGTGGGGTTAGGCAGGGTTGCCCAATCTCACCATTCCTCTTCAACTTTGCCATCGATGACATTCTGGAAACAGCTCTGACGGATGTAAGTAATGGTGGTGTGGATCTGTTGCTTGGAGAAAGACTTCTCGACTTTGAGTATGCGGATGATATTGTCTTACTGTGCGAGAATGCCCAAGCCATGCAATCCGCACTTAATCAGTTGGCAATCAGTGTCCGTAGGTATGGTATGTGCTTTGCACCTTCGAAGTGCAAAGTACTTCTACAAGACTGGCAGGATTCTAATCCTGTACTCACTCTGGATGGTGAGCAGATAGAAGTAGTCGAGAAGTTCGTGTATCTAGGTAGCTGCATAAGTGCTGGTGGTGGCGTGAGTGATGAGATCAATGCACGTATAGTGAAAGCCAGAGCGGCTTATGCCAATCTGGGCCATCTTTGGCGCCTTCGTGATGTTAGTCTGGCTGTAAAAGGTCGGATCTACAACGCGACGGTGAGAGCAGTTTTGCTCTATGCTTGTGAAACCTGGCCTCTCCGAGTTGAGGATGTTAGACGACTCTCTGTGTTCGATCATCGTTGCCTCCGAAGGATTGCTGGCATCCAGTGGCAACACCATGTCAGTAATGCAGAGGTTCGGCATCGAGTGTTCGGTCACAGAGACGATAATGAAATTGGTGTCACCATCTTGAAACACCGACTTCGGTGGCTTGGACATGTTCTACGAATGTCGTCCCAGAGAATTCCTCGTCGTGCATTATTTGCCGACTCTGGGACTGGTTGGAAAAAGCGGAGAGGTGGTCAGTATATGACATGGTGTCGTGGTATGAAAGAAAGCTGCAAAGGGCTAGCTTATGTTGGTCCTTCACGACTCCCTGGTTGGGGTCCGAGAGATGGTGTAACGCAGTGGCTAGAGACGTTATCAGATATGGCTCAGAATAGAAGCCAGTGGCGATCCTGCTGTAACCTTCTTTTACTTTCTTCATAAAAAGGTGGTCGTATTCTTCCTTAACAGAAAGATCTGTTCTGATTGTACCTTTCCGTTTCCCCCACCATTGTTCTCTCTCTCTCTCTTCTTTTTTTTATAATTCCCCACGTTCATTACTTTTTTTTTTCTTCTCTTTTCTCCTTCTCTTCTAATTATCACTGTTTTGTGTGGCGCATATATATTTGGTGCCCCCCTGTACCAATATTTATGTGTTCAAATAAATATATAAATAAATAAATAATAACCACTGAATATTGATTAATACCATTTTTGTCTAGTCCTTAATGGTGATCTAATTCTACCGACCGAATTGCGAATGTGGCCACTAGACTAAGTGAATCGACATCTTGTGGACTGTTTCAATATTAAGTGGTTAAGGGTTGTTTGTAGAATTTCCTCCTGATTACCTCCAACCACCCAATCAGTTCTAATTTATGTTTGGTTTAGTCGGTTTTATTCACAAATTTGAGCCAGTCGATATTTTCAGGACATGATAAGTCGATTAGATCTCGCTTTTTTCCTAAATTATATACAAACCAGTAAGTGTATTTAGTTTGATATATTAGGATAATTGTAATTTTAAGGAACAAATTGTCTATCAGGAAAGAGTAAATTGTTTACAATTAAATAAACTTAAAATTGACAGTTTAAGGGTTTTTCACTAGTAAATGGAACTTAGTTCTAGAGCACTAAAAATCATTTTGTTACATAAAATAACGAATATATATATATATATATATATATATATATATATATATATATATATATTATATATATACGAATTTGAGTTTCAGTCACTGCTTCTTTAGTTAGTTGAAGGACAAGAAGAAACTGTGGTAATCATGTTATCCGTTTCTGTTACTAGGGAAGATGGAATTCAACCACTGAAATTTTGATTACAAAGATCATATTTAGGGATTTTGATGACTATGGTTTGCCATGAATCATAGCAAGCCAGAACTACACAGTTTGTTGATCATCTCGACTGCATTTATTGTATCCACTTTGTGTTCGATGTCCAGCAAGTTACATATTACTAAACTATGAAGACTTTTTTGTTCTCGGAGACGTAGGTTTTTTGGAACATGCCCGATAAGTCATGTAAATGCCCCTTTTCTGTCCTTCCGATATTCCTTCTGCATGTACGTGTAAATTAATATATGCATCTGTAGGTGACATTTGACGAATGTCGGTTTACCTCTGCTTGGTTGAGCGTCTTGTGTGTGGTGAAACTAATTTTGTTAATCATGATGGATATTTATTACATCACCATACTGGCACCAAGTATTTATGACGATTTAGTATTAGTAAAACCAGACAACTTTGCGATTGCCTTACCAATCAGTCAATCGAAACGCTAGCATTTTAAATTCATGACTGTCTTTCCTGCTTCCTTGAATGGAATGCAAGCGATGTGTCTATCTCTTCGGATCCATAATAACTCAAACAGCAAACATATCTAGTAGCGTTGGTTTGGCTTAAAATCTAGTTGGTTATCATAACTGACCTACACTTTTATCTCACTTACTATGGAACTCACTGTACAAATTATCAACTCCTGCCTAGTTTGCGCTGTTTTAGCTAGCTCAAAAATATAATTTAAGGTTTCATTTTCCTACTCCATCATATCCAAGTCCATATAATGGTCTTCAGTAGTTCAATGCAGTCAGCAGTGATCGTAACCACATGAATGGAGATTGAGTTGAAATAGCTAAGCGAATTTGTCGATCTGGTTTGTGGTGCTTCTAAATGTAAATAACGATTCATTATACAAAGAGGCTATACAAGCAAACTCAGTGGTTTATCATCCAATCATCTTAAAGATTATAGAGAATGAAATATACTAATACGTGGATTATATAGCTAACGACAACAGACTGGTAAGTTTTTAAAAAGCTAGGTATTTTAAATATTCAGGTCATAGTATCACTCTTATTAACTAATCATCTGCCGAAACATGGAATTATGTTGTCTGTTGGCTTCGAACTTTCCTTTATTTTATCCACTGGTTATGAAGAATAAAGACAATTCGTTTACCAACGGAATTGTGTCACTGGACATTTAAAGGTACTTGGTCTCTTTGAACGGCAGAAAAAAGTGGGTCAAGATAATATTTTCAAAAGGTTTAGTAGACGCGCATTTCTACATAAATACAAGTCACTTTTTGAACAACATAAAGAATGTTCCCATTGGTCAGTTATTTTCTACATACACAGCTTTAGTGATCACCCTTTGGTACATATAGTGCTTTAAAGTTGAATAATAACTTAAAGCATGGTTAGTATTCTTTGGGTTTTAGGAAGGTTGCAAAGCCGGTTGGACCTTTTCCTATGTATAGTAGGGAGCAGTTAAAATGACAGTTTATGGTCGGTTACAGAAATGCGAAATAATCACCCGCTTAAAAAAGTAGCCGAAAAAGGTTTTAATGATAAGTATGTAATTAGTGTTTCAATCACTGACCAAATTTGTACTAAAACGAAACACAAGAATTCAACGAAGTTTTCTTTTTAAACTTCATAATTAAGTATAAATATTGTACATATTCTGCAAATTATTTGTTCATAAAATTTGATTGATAACAGTGGTTATATTATAAGCTAGGTAGTTTTGACACGTCAACAAATAACAGTATTATCAAGTTACTAAATTAATTGGTGTAGTAAAAGTCACAAACGGAATGTAAATATAAAATGAAAATAAAAACAATGATATGGTATGAGGAGAAATTATAACATTATATGGCAACAAAATATGCAGTAATCAGTTTTGGCATCTAATCTTTGATATACAAATAAGTGGTTATATTTTGTTTTGAATTCCCTCTCATTAACCACTCAGTTTTAAATCATGAATATTGACTTTCATGGAAAGTGATCTATTTTATAAGAAAAATATTAATACGGTCAAATATTTTAACATGGGGTCAGAAATTCGATGTATCTATCCAGGAGCAGAAACTCATTCTGCTTTATTTTATGGTTGTGAATTGTGGAATTTTGAAGTAAAAGACACTGACTGCTAGTATTTTTCCATAGATATCTAATGGCTAATAACATGTGGAACTGTCGAGTGGGCAATATTTAGATGACTCATACAGCATTGGTTGTGGATGGTAGTCTGACTAGTGAGTTTGTAGTATATCCCATAGTCATTGTCATTTCATTTTAATTGTGTGAGGGTTATGATACTGTCTGGGTGCCCAGACCAGAGCAGGTGGTTTTCCTAGGGGGTCACACTTCAAGCCGTTGACCTAAAGGTCTGACCCACAAGGCAGTGAAGCATCGTAAGGAAATGCAGTCCCATGGAAGCCTGTGACCAACAATTGGTTCATACGCCATTTGTTTCCTCAGGATACTGGAGCCCATGTGCACCATTGGTTTGGAATCAGGGTTTCCCAACTCCTCTAGGTGGACTCACCGGCCCGGTTAAAGCGCCGGACATTCACTTTTCGTCCTCTCAATTTCGTAAACAACACCCTCGCCACGAGAAGGCAGTGAGTAGGACTTCCCTGGCAGAGGCTGTATACGCGTGGTCGTTTGGGAGCATTTCGAAAGGCCGTACCAGGGTATTCGGGGGCCATATATATATCTGGTGCCCCCTAGGGCCAATATTTTTATGTTCAAATAAAAAATAAATAAATAAAACAGTGATTTTGTGGACCTTCATCGGCTGAGGAGTTTGAGATGTGTTATGCATGTCCAGTCATCTCTAACACAAACATGCTATGCTGGCTAGTGTAAGATTAAATAGAAAGACGGTCAGAAACAGTGAGATCAAGACACAGCTTCAGTTCGTGAAATTGCTAACTACTTGACTCAGTCAGTCAGCAACAACGCAGAACTTCGTACGTACGTACATCAGTTCAAGTTGCCACACCACATTAGCACAGAGATACAATTGTCGATTCAAATCCCATAGTGGTAGAGGTGTTCAAAGCATAAGCAGTAATCGGAAAGATTAGGGTTTAAAGATGTTATTCAAGGAGTATAATCCAGTGAAATAAATTTGGAAAGAAAATAAAGGACATAAAGAATTCAGAAGATTAGAATTTGAGAGAACACAAAGAGTGGATGCACCTGCGCCATTGCAAACGATTTTGAGCCATGTAATTCAAGGTCTCTAACCATCGGTTGCTATCGTCTCGCGGACCCCAACCAGGTAGTCTATACCTACCAACATGGCTCAGTTCACTTGTCAGTGACTTCATGGATTTGTGCCATGTTTTGGTATGACCACTCCTAGCTTCCATCCTACTCCTACATCATAAAACATCGCTTGTCGTGGCAGTCGGTGGTTGGGAATACGTAACACATGTCCCAGCCATCTCAACTGACTGATTTTATTGAGGTCCTTAGAATAAACAATTTGTGACTGGCGACGTTAGACAATGTAGATCAAAATCATTTAGCAGTTTCCTAGATGTATTTACTCATTACCCTTTAAATTTCGAGTTTTGATAATATTTCATACTTCCCATTTTTCGCTCATTAATCCTTCTCGAACTGTGTCCTCTGTATTATCTTTTCGCTACCACTAATACGATTATTTAGACTCCTTTACCTTTTATTTGATTAGTTTTTCTTCGATAATGTCGTAAAGTGTAGTAAGTTGAACCGATACATATTTTTGATAAATCCTACGTTAATAATTCCTGATGTAACCTGGAAATTGCATCAACATTAATCAAGGTGGTTATTGTGTAGATTCTATTTAACTTTATTATTATTATTGTTTTAAACTTCGTAATTTACCCATAGTGACAAATGAGCGTGTTTTGGTATTTTTAGGTGAAATATGATCTTGTTTTGGATGATGAGATAGAGTTTTTAAAAACACTAACTCGACCTGGTGCCAACACTGAACAAGAAGTCAGTCCAGACGAAGAGCAAAAACGAAAAGCTACTGACAAACGTGAAGCCCTCAAGGAAGCAAAACGCTCACTCCCGATCTATAAATTCCGGGATGCTCTTTTACAAGCTATTGCTGATCATCAGGTTTTAATCATAGAAGGTGAAACAGGTTCTGGTAAAACAACTCAAATTCCTCAGTATTTGTACGAAGCGGTATGCTTACCATAACATTTTTATTTATTTATAATTTACTCACCATTCATATTTGTTTTGTTTTTTGAAGGAAAAGTGTTTTACTCTGAATGACCTATTAATTCATCATGGTATTTCATCGAGTCAGTCAAAACTAGTAGGATAAGCATCAAAATTAATGCATGGTAAAATAAATAACAATATCAATAAATTTAAAACAGGTGTTCACTTGAAAGCTAATCAACTCTAATACTCCATGAGATAATCATGTATTTGTAATATCCCAATGAGTATAAGATCGGATTTATAGCTCATTTTTTATTGGTTGTTTGAATCTTTCCATCAATGTTTAAGACTACAATTGATCAATCTCTTATTGGCACATGTACATCTTGTGCGGATCGCCTCGATATTGCCTTAAGTCACAAGTATTATAAGCAAAAAATGGACGGTGGTTAGCAGTGGGATCCAGGACGTGCGTTTTGTTCTATCTGGGACTCGTCAGTTGGATGTGCTTGCATCACAGAGTTAATGTTCTTTTTGGGACTCGAGTCCAGTACCATCCACTCCAAACGCCATCTCGTTATCGACTTAGCTACCGGGTTCAGAGAGTCGGTTGCAGTTCTAAATATCAATGGGCAGATTCAAATAACCAATTGCACAAGATATTGGCTATCAGGACTCTAGCTAGGTGGATAACGCGATTACGTTTAAAGTGGACGGTACTGGATTCGAGCCCCTAAGCTAACGTCAACTCTGGAATGTAGGTACATCCAACTGACGAGCCCCAAACGGGAAGAAAGGCGCGCGGCGAGGATTCCACTGTTAGCCACCATCATCTTCGAGTTCCTAGTGTTTCGAGACTTAGTGTAAGTTGTTGTTTATCAAAGTAAACGAAATCGAACAAAAGAATCAGACCAAAAAATAGCAAGCTATAATTCTATATCTTTATGCACTAGTATTCCAGTTGATGGATGCCTACACCTTACTGATGGGTTCACTGCAGATTGATAATACTATACCTAGCAGATATCTTTTAAGGATTAGTTTAATTTTAAAATTCCTCAAACTATGGTCAAATTCAACCCCATTCACCGTATGTAAGGAAAACAGAAGATACTAAACCCCCTTCGTTATGCCCCATACTTTCACCAGTTCTGTCAAATCTCGGATTCGGCTCAAATATGTAGGTGGCATTTTTGTCATCATTGAGGAACTTTCTTAAACTGATGAGTACTTTCTCGGCACATGTCAAATTCACTTTCGAAATCGAAAATAAACAGTGAACTACAACTTTCAAACTATTTAGCTAAGAGTAATGCAAATAGAATCATATATCTAACCGCCTACTAGAAACCAATACATTTCAACCCATCTTTACATGAATTTCAATTCTGTACACCCTTCCAGTGCAGAAAATTTATATTAAAGAGGGATAAATATAAGGAGCATAATGATATAATAATCATCTTATCATTTAATAATTTCCATATGAATATCATCGGAAATGTATTAGAAACGAAATGAATATGATTGAATTGTGTAAATTCAAAGAACCAACCTCTGTTATGTGCAAGTTTCTTGTCCGTCTTATCCTGTGAATACTATTAAATGAGGATTCTGGTTTAGATAGATGACCGGGATTGACTAGATGTTCAACGATCGAGCTATTGACTGATTTATACTATATGTAAAGAAAATAACTCGAAATATGATTGTACAACTCTAGTAAATAACATTTTTGAAAGGAATTTTTTGCTGAAACGTCTTCATTTTGTGTAATGATCTAATGGGTTTTGAAATATGTTTGTCGTGTAATATTATTCTCAGTGCTGTTCAGTATATATTAAAAGTCGTCTTCGGTTCTTGGTGTGTTATGTTATAAAAAAGTTTTCGATGTATTTCCCTATGCTTTTTTGCAAGTTGTTAATGATAAGTCGTCATGTTGAGTATCACTATACTGGGGCATGAAAAATTGTCTACTTAACAAAAAAGAATTATTACAACATGCAAAGTTTGTTCTACAGCCTTTCATTCAATACCTTTCAATTGATAGTGTAGTCCTGATGTAAATACTTTAGCAATAATACTAGTAATTTCTGTTTATCAAAACATTTTGTTCTTCAATAGGGTTATTGTAATGGAGGAAAACGTATCGGATGTACACAACCACGTCGTGTTGCTGCCATGTCAGTAGCTGCTCGAGTTTCACAAGAAATGTCTGTTAGACTTGGAGCTGAAGTGGGATACAGTATTCGTTTTGAAGATTGTACTTCAGAGCGTACAATAATAAAGTACATGACAGACGGTATGCTTTTGCGTGAATTTCTCACAGAACCAGATTTGGGCAGTTATTCAGTAATGATTATAGACGAAGCACATGAACGCACATTACATACAGATATACTGTTCGGTTTAGTAAAGGTAAACCATTATTAATTGAATCATTTTCCTCTTTCTCTATCATGCAAACTAACAGTTCCAATCAAACTTCTAACCTATAATCTAGTCGCTAGTATTCAAGGTCTTCTGATACTTTCTAACTGTCTACATAAAAGTACAATATAGACATTTGATCAATCAATTCATTGCCTAGAAGTTAAAATGTATATATCGTTAAGCCACAATGAATCACATTTTTACCCTACTTTATAATAATTTCTAACCAAATGAAGTGAAACAACAACCCATCATTTTTCTTGTTTATTCAACTACTTTTTTGTTGAATGTTCGTCAGCTTTTATTCAAGAAATTGCTTATTAATCTCTATGTCATACATATTCTGTGTAATAGTTTATGCGACTACTAGATTAGTCAGTTTGTAATTAGAGTAGCGCAATTCTGAACATTATTCAAGAAAGTATTGTCATATTTGTAAATATACATCTGGATAGATCTATCTTTTCAATTAGATTAAGATCATTTTGAGTTAAATTTTATTTTTAAAAGATTCTCTTAATTTCACACTACTCATATAAGTGTACTTCAAGGCGGAAAAAGTCAAAGTATCATTGAATTATACTCCAGCTTATCTAATTAATATAACTTCTCACGTAGCTTTTCCACCACTCTAATCTCATCGAATAAGTTCCAATCATATTTATTTTGTAGTATTAATTGAAGCGTAAAACATTACTCATAAACTTTAAAAGTAAAAAGAATTCTCTATTCCCAATTCAGTTCAGTTTATTTAGTTATAAGAATTTACTGTATTTAATAACAAATTAACGTTTTTTTCTCAATATTATTTCATCATAACATTCAATACACATGTTTGAGCATAGTGATAGGCTAATGTTCTAACAGGAGTGGATTGTTGATAATATTTACTTTATATTGGCTTATTATTACAGTTATCTTCATATATATGATTGACATATCAATTGAACTTAAAATATACACCTGTATTGAATTTTATTAGTAATAACTGTTAACATAAGTGTCGAACTATTCACAGAATATAGTCTTATTCATTAACAGATATTTATATTATTTCAGTCCAATAGATTCAATAGATTAATTATGCAAAACTGACATCTGAACAACAACTTACAACTATCCAAGTAACAATTTGATAATCAACTCTTTAGGTACGTGTAATTTAACATGAATATTTGGTTTTTTTATTCTATTCACCAAACATCATTGTTTACTCAACATATTTCTTTTTAAAAAATTCAACTTTTTAAGGATGTAGCTCGTTTTCGACCCGATTTGAAACTTCTAATTAGTTCTGCTACTTTAGATGCAGAAAAATTTGCTACATTTTTTGATGATGCTCCCGTATTCCGAATTCCAGGTCGTCGTTATCCAGTTGATATCTACTATACAAAAGTAAGTTTTGAAATAGTTTGTTCGACATTATAGGTCTTTAGTCTTTTTTGAATATTTCAATGTATTTACTAAAATGATCAGTCTTCATTTTGTTTTGTGAAGATTTTTTAAAAATTCAAATATAATCAACAAATTGATCATCACTGTTAAATTATTTTGTATGTAATAGTCTAGTTTATTTATCAATAATATCTTTAGCCTTGATTTGCAACTTTTATGGTAGTTGTTTTTTTATGACTTAGTGTCACGATCTACTTCGTACTGCTAATCAATCGATAGCTTGGTGGTTAAACCAGTAGGTCAGAAGTTCGAGCTTTTCTGCACTTGACTCGGTTTAGATTGTTGGATAAGATCGATATCCCTCTTATAAGTTATGCAACTCAAGCTGACTACTTAAACCTGTGATTGGTAAATCAGTTACAAACGTTGTGCATTTCTATAATTCAACCAAGTGGGTTGGTCGTTTAGTGAATAATCAATTTAATTCATTTACCAGGTACACCTTCGTGTACCTGTGTTTAATCGCACTCTGAGCGTAGGGGATATCAGTATTATCCGATTGTCCAAACTTAAGTATATAGAACGGGGTTCGAACGTGCAACTTAGGGTCTGACAGTTGAGTTCCTTAGTTACTAAGTTGTGCTCCGCTATAATAATAAACAGATTTTACTGAATAAAATGAATGAATAACAATTGTTTCCTCCCACGTAAAAGTTTTAGCTTTGGTTATTAAGTCTACAAAGTGATTATTTGTTAAGTTTTGAGTTTCAATGTGATTACGATTTAAATAAATTATGCTCCAGGATTCTAACGAGTTCCATTTAACATCAAGTAACAAACTGTTCATTTGCGTTAAGCGATTAACTAAAGATAGAATCACGGTTTGGATTAGGTATATCCTGTCGCTACAAAAATTATACTGATCTTACAGATTTATTTTTGCACAATGATGACGGAGTTTATATATCTGTTGGGGTATTCAGAAAATACCCCAGAAATTATCTAATGCCATTCCTGAATGAGAAATGGTGTCATTTCCCCCAAAACTCATAGTTTGTAATTTTATCTTGTGGAGCTTGTATGCAGATGTATACGTGGGCATTTCTTACCACCCACGCACATAGTTGATTGACGAATTTATCGATCAAATGTTTAAATATTTCAATGGCGGTCAAGTGACGAACTATCGACTAAATGTTTAAAAGCTCCATGGCAATATATATATATATATATATATATATATATATATATATATATACGTTTTAAAATTGTCTTGTAAAAAGGTTTGCTGGTTTCTGGTTGTTGCAGAATATACTCTCATTTCAAGCCTGGTCTTCTCTCTCTAAATAGCGGGGCTGGGACGCGTCATTAGCTAGCTCACTGGACCTTGATCACCGAATCCTCGTTCTCGTTCGCAATTTAAGTGAACTCGTTAAGCTTCAACACTAACAATATCATAGTGTCGTTTAGTCTTCTACCTAGAATAACCATTCATCAAGGTTTAACCATTAATTGAATGATTCATTCGGACACAGTTACTTTTATTATTCACCTGTTTATAGATTGATTACAATTCAACCAATGTAAGAATTAATTTAAATTGTACTCCTTACTCAGTTATTCTGAATATCCTCAAGTTTTTGGTACTTTTGTCTCGAAATCTATAAAAAAATTTATAATTTCATTTGATGATTATTATCGGGATAATTTTAATCTAGTGCAACAAGTCAAAGATTCTTTAAATGTAAGCTGTTGCGGTAGGTTAACAACAAAAATGATGCTAACAGTTTGTTTGACCGAAAAACTCATTAACATTATGGCTTTGAAAGACAATATGTAGTTATTTCCAGAAAGAAGTTCATCCAATCAATATTAGTCAGTGGGGATATTAGAAGATTTACTTTAATTTATTAAAAGTAATAACAAAGTATTCGTGGAATGTTTCCCTACTAGGTTATTATGAACTTTGAATGTTACACAGTGTTTCGTTTTCAATTTTCTTAGAAACAAAATGATAGTATTAATTTGTCTAAAATATTGTTCTATAATAGGGAATAACTTTTAGACTACAACCGATTATCTTGATATGAAAATTGAATTAAATTTCGTAAGGTCATTACTATTATTATTATTAATTATACCATTACTGTTTATATATTTTGTATTATCAAATTAAAAATTTACTGTCGTATCGTTTCGACCAGTTATATTTCTAAACTTCTAATGTTTTACAATTTATTCTACATATGATTATACCCCTTATTTCATAGTTCGATAAAAAATAACAATGAAATCGGTTATAAATGTTTATTTACAGGGAAACTCATTGACTCTTAATTGCTATGGATAAATAACATTTTCATCACTTTTCATGGTCAACAGTTGATTAGAAACTTTTCTTAACAAGTTTCAAGTTAATTCACACAAGTAGATACGATTGAACTGGCCATTTTATTTACAAAATTTTAGTGCTTAATTAAAAAGTTGACTCGGCCAGTTGTAAATCTATATATCTTTTTATTATCCAATCTTATATTAATTTTGTATCACGATAAATACAATGTAATTTGAGTGATGTACTTTGGTGATATAATTCTGAGTCAACTTGCTACTACGACTAATGTAAGATTAAGTGTGAAACAGATCAGAAAAACCCAAGGTTCATTTGGAAAAGTTTAAACTCCTTTGAAAATGTAAACTATTGTTAACTAAACGTCGATGATGCTAAAGATGTATACTCACCTTTGATTTTCCACTAAATATTTAAGATTGTATTATTATACACTTTCGTTTCATATCTTTATTTCTTATTTTTAATGTTGGTGATATGTTTATATTTATGTATCTATTTGATCTTGTCTTGATTTTGCCTTCTTATGTTAAATGTGACAACATGAACTGTTTTGCACAACCGTAACACATCCTATATTATCTATCAGTCTCTGGTGTTGCCAGAAGTAAAGAGGTTGTTGCCACTTCTCAACTGCTCATACCATGGAAGGATGCATCATCTTGAAGAAAATGAAACTGAATTGAAAATAATGTTAGCATGACAGTAGAGCCTAAGAGATAACTGCTCGAGTTCGGTAAAACGCGTGTTTTATCGCGACAAGTCTTTTCTATTTTTTTTACCTCCCTACTTTAAAAACCTTACCACCGAAAACGGGAATCCGTGAGGTTAAGTGAGGTGTGACATTTTTAGGACTGACCTTTAATCTTTTGGTTGTGAGGCAGCATCGCTGTGGATGCTGGTCATCCGATGGAAAGAATCTACTAATGTTACACCCCGGTAAAGGCAGCAGTATGAGTTCAGCCTTGGACTTTTAGTTTGACTGTCTATCTGCTGTTTGTGAAAAATTATACTAGTCGCTAATGGATTATGAATATTTTTTGTTTTATTGGGTTTTATTTTCTAGGCTCCAGAAGCTGATTATATTGAAGCTGCTATCATATCTATTCTTCAAATACATGTAACTCAACCTCCAGGTGATATTCTAGTCTTTTTAACTGGTCAAGAAGAAATTGAGACTGCCAATGAGTTATTAATGGAGCGTACAAGAAAACTTGGGAGTAAAATTCGTGAATTAATAATTCTACCTATTTATTCTAGTCTTCCATCTGATATGCAGGTATATATACATTTGTTTTTAATAACTACATTATATTTTTCACTTTTGATGGGTTTTATTTTAAGTAAGCTTCGTATTTTAAAGTAAAATTCATTACAAGATGAAAAACAAGTTACTTCATTTTACTTGTACATAGGTATACGCTTGAGTTATAAAACAAAGTCTATAGATAGCTTATTTCTTAAGCTATTGACTTATTAGTGTGGTAGTTTGAGTTTTATTTAGTATTTGTCGAAATTCTGTATAATTTTTTGTGGAATTCTTCGGATCCCCTTTAGAAATTTTAAATTCTGCGAGATTCTTGTTCATTTATTTATATTTGTCCCAAAAAATCACCGCTGAACTTCCGAAATGTATTTACGCCAACAGTCTCTCAAAAACTGAAGGGACTCTTATCAACCGAGTTACCTTATTTAAAAAGCACTTGATCGGTGTGCTAATAACTTCCTAGCTGGTTTTTAAATCGTCAGGACTCTCCCACACTTAAACCTCATACAAGATGGAAAATGCGTGAAGTAGGAAAGAATTATTTACTGCGAGGTTAGGTAATGTACAAAAAGTATGCGTATTCATAAAGTTACTGCTAACCTTTGACCTATGGAAACTTCTCCAAGTACGATAAATTAAGTAATAGAGTAAGTGGTTGTTCAGTCAAAGTGTGTCGCGTAATCTGCCAGTTTCCTAAGATTTTTAGCGTATACTAATTGGACAAAATGTTCTAAGCCTTTTCTTAGCTTCTGAAGACCATATAGAAGAATTCTCTGGGGGATCCGAAAGGCATTGTGTCGATAAACCACCAACCAGTTGGTTTGTATCTCTATATTTGCCTACAAAGTTGCCTATTATTTATTTAGAAAGAAAGTTGATTATATTTTTTATCAGGGGGTGTTAAGACTTGTCCAGTTTGAAGGTTGTACAAGTTCTGCAATATTTATTGGAAATGGATATTCCAAAGACCATTTAGAGAATTGATTTTCTTTAGTGAGTTATCTACTAGTATACTCTTTAGCCTTAAATTCGTCTGGGTTAAATATCGACCAATCTAAATGGTTATAACGTATTGATTTTGAAATATTAGGGATACAGTTACCTTTAGTAGAACATGTTGTTATTCTAATTGTAGAAAAATGTAATGGGCATGCTTAGCTGGTTGAATATTGTAACATTTGTAATCTCTTTAGCGTAGATATTTATTTCGAAAAACCTATAACGTTTGAGATTTTCCAAAACCATTAGTCTTTGTCACCTTTTGTTGGAAGATAGTTATATTGCAATTATATTATTAAGTTTTTGGATAGAGCTCCACTAAGCATGTACTATTCACACTGAGAAATATTTATTCTAGTCTACGATCTTTATAACATGAAATCATAGTATGGCTTTGTTGCATTGAATAATTCTAAGTTCTTTTCGATTATTCAATAATATTTCTCTCTTCGTTATAGAGTTTGTTCAATCTAATTTTTGTGGTAGGTAGTAATGGGGACTGGGGGGATTGAAGCTGAATGTATCGACTCAATCAAAACCTATCATTTTGGGCATTAATACACTTAATCAACAAATTATTTGTTGTATATATATACTTTTATTTAGTTCTAATTCAATTGACGAATCACACTTTTGTATTCATCACAGTAAAAATAACCAGCAAAATGACAGTGGGAAAACAAATCCACCAATCAAATTGTAATTCATGTACTATTTTTATTGGCTAGTTAGTTTTTAGCTTTAAAGAGATAAGGCAAGCAAATTACTATTCTTCTTCGTTAGAGATCATTTAGAATTCACAATAGTTATATGAAAACTATGACATGAAATCTTTAAATTAGCTAAACTTTTTTATGTGATTTTGTTTATTGGTCAAATGCAATTGTTTGTTTGTTTGTTTTTTATTAAATGACAAATAGCGAATTAACTAAATACATTAAACAGCTTAAAATTTGATGTAATTTTTTGTCATCTCTAAATTACCAGGCGAAAATTTTCGCACCGACACCACCAGGTGCTCGAAAAGTTGTCTTAGCCACAAATATAGCTGAAACATCACTTACAATTGATGGTATTATTTATGTTATTGATACTGGATTTTGTAAACAAAAGTTTTACAGTGCACGTTCTGGTGTTGAATCTTTAATAGTTGTTCCAATATCACAAGCTGCCGCTGATCAAAGAGCTGGACGGTGAGTGATTTTTAATGGTTGATTTATTTCTTTTGCATGTGTGGCTGGCTAGTAAATAATTTGGCTTTTGTAAAATCTACTTTGTTGGGCATTTGAGTTATCAATTCGGTTATCTAAATTCTCATTTAGGTTTTTTTTAATCCATCCACTTGAGAATTAAATTAGGTATCAACTGTTATATTAACAGTGTTGATAGACACAGTATCGGTGTTCAAAGCATTTCTTGGTTGCTAGATGAAAATATTTCACAAAATCTATGACGCAGAAGTAAAAGTAATCTCAGAGTATAGCATATAATTATGTATTTGTCGAATTTTGTCATTAATTATCATTTTGAATTTTAGGCACATAATAAAAACCGTTAACATTATAAGTAGGGTGATACCTGGTTGTTTCGTTTTCATAACCCACAATACAATAAATCTTTCACTGTGTAGCAATGTTTTTATTATGAGATTATCGGTCATAATTGATGTACTTTTGTTAGTCAAGGAGTCGGATACTGATGAAAACGACTACTGAGTATAGTAAATATACACAAGCTTCTCTGTCCTTACTTAGCCTCAGCTAATACAGTTAGGAAGAGTTAAATGCTGACTCGAATACTTAGTAAACTTTGTTCTGGAAACTAACTTATCACACTTCTATTGTATGTCAAAGATTTTCGAAATACTTAGAAGGAGGTAATTAATTAAAGCACCAAACATATAGGATAAAAGAATATTTGATAGTAGTACAAATAAATAACATGTAGTTTAGTAAATTCTCGGTGGAGAATCGTTAATTTTAAATTCTCAAATATTATTACAATTAAATTTCTTTGACTAGATTTTATCCTATCAGTCATGTTATGTTTTGTATCATATTTTGTGCCTTACAGAATATTGTCATTCAGTGAAGATATTTATTTTTCTTTTAATAGTAATAGTAGTTTCGAGAAACATTCAGAATTGCTTGAACATTAAATACTAAAAGCGTTAATGTCATTCAGTGTTCAAAGAGCTATAATATTAAGATTATTCGAATTCGTTTACTTTGATTATTTGATCCACATTTATCATATGTAGTTTAAAAATCCTTTTCCTCAAGTGATAAATGTTTCATATCCGTTGATTTAGAGTCAGGTGTTACATTTATTAAGCTCGGATGATGGTGTGTATCAAACATATGTTAATGACAAATTTTTGTGTACAATTTTAATTCACAACTATTTGTTATTCACATAGCTGACGTTGATAGGTTACTACATTGGTACTCTTAACTTATGAGGATAAAAGGTGTTAGAAATGTTGTTATTTCTAAGTTGGATGGTTAAATTATTAAGCTTTCATTGTTCTTCTAAACAATATTATCAGCAAATAATTCAGAGATGTGGGGTATTAGAATTTCTTTGCAATTAACTAACAGCTCGTTTTGTTGACCAAATACCATGCTAATGATTTTGTTCAGAGGAACAATGAAAGCTTCACAATCTAACCATCCAGCTCAGAGACCACAACCTCAACTTAATTCATTTAGAAAATCTAGTCATGAGATTTCGTTTATTTCATTTGTGAACAGCTCAAGTATTTTAGATAATAGGATTAATTACATTTTCTTATTTGTGTTTATACATATATATTACAGTGCTGGACGTGTAGCCGCAGGCAAATGTTTTCGTCTATACACTTCACATGCTTACCATACAGAATTAGATCCACAACCTATTCCAGAAATACAACGTACCAATTTAGGCAATGTTGTCTTATTACTTAAATCTCTTGGTATTGATGATCTGCTACATTTTGACTATATGGATCCCCCACCACATGATGCTTTAATTATGGCATTAGAACAATTATACGCCTTGGGTGCATTAAATCATAAAGGTGAACTAACTAAAATGGGTCGTCAAATGGCTGAATTCCCATGTAATCCACAATTATCAAAAATGATTTTAGCCTCAGATAAGTACGTTTTCGTTTAAAATGTTTGGATAGTATATACACTTTTCCGCAAATTATCTCAAAAACGTTTTATGGTGCTAGATGCCTAATTATTTTTATTGAATGTAAAATCCTAACGAAATAAGTCGTCTACAAGTTCATACGCATTGTTGGTTTTCATGGGATTTCTGCATGTTTATTTTCTTCCACTGTTTTACAAGTTCATATTTTGAGTTGAATGTCTTAAAAATATTTTTTTTCGTTCTCACCAAAATCATGTTTCTTAATTATTAATTTACAAAAAAAAACAGGTAGATCTTTAAATAAGAACCTAACTGTTTGCTGCATCCGGTAAACTACAATAATAATGGTTTATTTATATATATTTTGGTGATCAGATGGAGGTAGAATTATTGGATTAGATTTGCTTACTTACGTACGCCTGTTATCCCTCGTGGATCATAGGCTGCCGACCAGGAATCACTACCCAAATCTGTCCTGGGTTATCCTTTCCAGTTGTTTCAAGTGCTATTCACTATTTCGATAGCTCCCTTCAATTCCCTGCGCAATATTTTCTTTAGCCTCTCTCTCTTTTTGGCTTGAGCGTTTCAAATTAGGACATACTTTGTGAAGCAGTTTGATGATTACCGCAATGTGTCCTCTATCCACCTTCAGCCAAATCAGATTTAATTAGTAGATAATAAGTTCACAACTTTGCAGGTGATTAGTAAACACTTCTCTGGTTTCATTAGTGTATAACCCAAGAATAAATCGTCTTAATATTTTATTACTAATCAGTTAACAATTTGATGTAATAATCAGTTGCAATTTTATTCACGTTCGGTTTACTTACACAAATCCCGTTTTGTCGACTACCGGAAGAAACAATGAATTGTATATACACTAGGATACAATTGGAAACCAGATAGAGTTTTGAATATAACCACATTATACCGAAAGTTAATGTTGGTCAAAAGTAGGCTATAATCTCTGAAAAAGTTAACTAATACCTGTAGCTAACATGCAACCATTAGTTAACTAAACCACTCTTTTCCAATCATGAATTAGCGAACTCCGCAATCAGGTTTACATCTAACATCATAGTGTTTGTTGTATTCTTTCAGTTTAGTGTTAAAAATCTCACTTTGTTACTTTTAAATGTAGTTTAAAATAACAAAGAATCATTAACTTTTTGTCACTTGATTTTTCTTCTACTTTAAGGGTAACACACTGAAACAATACGTATTATGTAAAATTTTCTGTATTTAATTATTGATGTATTGTTATGATTCGTTAGGTTTGTATTACTATTAGAACACCCAAATAAAGTAGATAATTTTTCTTAGATATGGTCATTGTTTGAACATCTAATCTAAAATATATATAGTCTACGGTGGACTGTTGTGAGAGCGATATCATTATGTTAGCTGATACTCGATATACGTTTATACACTAGTTCTTTCTTCATTTCCATTTCTGATACGTGGAACTTCCCTTATATATATATATATATATATATATATATATATATATATATATATATATATATATATATATATATATATATATACTATATTCACGAGACTGAAAATCTTTTCAGAAGGTTGGTTATTCTATCATATATACGCGGTTACAGATAAGCAGTTACATCAATTAATTCTTCAGGCAATCCTATTTACAAAGCTTATAAATGTATTCATCTGCAAGGTGTTTATTTATTTAACAGATAGCTTAGTAAATTCTTGGTGGAGAATCGTCAATTTTAAATTCTCAAATATTATTACGGTTAAATTTCTTTTTATGTATCTCAAAATCTAATTTATTTATTTATTTATTTAAACATATAAACGTTGGTACAAGAAGGCACCAAATATATATATATATGCTCCACACTTCGTCATCCGATTTTTGTGAGGTCTGGAATACTGCCCTGGTGCTCATACCAAAGCAGGTGGTTTCCTTAGGGTCCACTCCCCGAGCCTTTGATTTAGGTGTCTAATCCACAAGACAGTGGAGCAACGTGAGGAGATGCATTACCATAATAGCCTGTGGCCAACAATAGGTTCATACACCATTTGTTCTGATCAGGATCTTGGAGCCCATGTACACTATTGGTTTGGAATGAGGGTTTTCTTATTCCTCTAGGTGGTTCTTCTATATCCACCAACCCAAATAATCCTCTAGACATTCGTTTTTCATCCTTTCAAATTCATAAACAGCACCGCGAGAAGGAAAAGTACTTACACTGAAAAATATCTGTTATAGCTTGATTGTCTTTTTGAGTAACGTACAAATTTCTTTTTCTTTTCTCTCCTAATAAAGGTATAAATGTTCCGGTGATATTATCACTATTGCATCTATGCTTTCTGTAAATAATGCCATCTTCTATAGACCGAAAGATAAATTAATTCATGCAGATACTGCACGAAAAAGCTTTTCTCATATAGCCGGTGATCATATTATGCTATTGAATGTTTATAATCAGTGGGCGGAATCGGGTAAGCCTTCAATTCTCACAATTTAATATCGAGTAATTAAATTAGATTTAATTAGTTTCATGAATATATTGCATTCGGCGTTATATTACTTATGAGAGGAATTGATAGACAGGTATTAACTTATTCTTCTTTATTGTTTATTAACACAAAAACTTCTAGTTCAACGGTAATTCATACTAAAGTCACTTTATACCATTAATGACTGATCGCTAACAGAACTGAAATAAAAATGTATGTCACATTATTTCTCTTTTTTATTGCTTCATCTTTAAGGTGGGTGTCTTTGGTGTTTGATTAATTACTGAACTGTCGACCAGTAATTAATCGCCTAAAAATCTTTTCATCTACCTAGATTTAAACAGTCTGCTACTGTCAGTACTACTCATACAATAGGTAGGAATCATTGTTTTAGACTAATCTCTCCATACAGTTACTGAGTTAGATATTCTTTCATTTATTATTTAGTATATTATACTGTTCGATTGTACATTTATACTACTAATCTTTACAATATCTGTTTTGGTAAAGTAACATGTGTATGAGTTGAACACGTTTGTTGTCCATTAATTATCCTTAATCATATGAAATAATTACTATAGAGTAAAAAGTTAAGTTTTTTACAAATTATTACCTTGTCAATAATAAATATGGTCTTTTACGAACTTCAACAATAAATCTGAAATTGTTGAAATTCTTTATTATACACCTTACTACTTTAAAATTAGGAAAGTAGCATAATGAGTATGTCAAGTATAAAGTGTGCCTGTCATTTGAAGATTTTTCTGTCATTTCAATTTCTGAGTAAGAAAGCAGTTACATCCAGTCGACATGTCCAAAATAGGAGGAAACTCACGTTTTTCTATCTACCATCCACATCTGCCTGAAAAGCTTTACAGTCTTTATTTTTAACTAATAGCATGAGGAAATCATTCTGTAGTCATTTGATTGATGAGCTGTTTTAACTGGTTTTCTGGACTCAGAATTGCAATCCATTATTTATCTTATAAATTAGGAGATTATCACATCATTTTCTTCCAACTGATCGTGTTTCCTAGACCAAATCATTTGTATATTTGAAAAATATGTTATATTTCAGTGTTTATATGTTGTGAAAGGCTTTCTCGTGGATTTCTATGTTAGCCCACCTTATGGTTTATTGATAAGCATATTCCATGTGTATATCCCATCTCATTATATTTCAGTACTAATGTAAAGGTTTAATGACCAGTTCGACCGTTTAATTTACGAATTCACGTAATATCTAATCGCTCTTGTATTTCATCGAAATTCAGAGCCGATCCAAGTCCGACAACCATTGAAAACCTGGAAGCACTGAAAGGCTGTTCCGGTCTAGTATGGAGCTCTCCAGCAGCGCGCACCCACGACACCGCACATGGGAACTTGACCCCAGAACTTCGGTCGTACACGCGAGCGCTTAACTCTTCTAAACTACTTACTTGGAATGTGTTATATTCGATAGTTTATAAATCTAACTTTTTCGTGTGGTTAAATACTATTACTTCATTTTCAATAAGGTTAATATATATATACGGATTAGAAATCCATGTATGTTTTTGTGCTAGATCTCAACTATTTTAGTCAACAATCGTTTGGAATGATATGGACAAAGACGCTAATTTTTTGATGTAAAAATAAAACTTTGTTATTCCATAATGAAAATATTCATATTTTGGTGTTGTCGAGTTCTTTGAGCTTGATTGCGGAAATTTTCATTGTCGTTATGAACAGTATTGTCAGCGCTTCTTTCCTATAAATGTTTATTTTCATTTGACTATACTTAAATGACTTTCAGTGTAGACAGATCTTGGATAAAATTTTACACATCATCTTTGATAAATCAATTGGGACTCGTTAGTAAATGTACACATATTACTATAGTTTTAAGTGATCTCTTCTTACATGATATGTCCGGCAAATACGTGAACTGAGCTACCAAATATTTTTAATGAAATTTTGAGTAGAAAACAAGAAGTTTGTGATATAATAAGGATTTTTTGTGAAAATAATCTTTCGAATATAGTCTACTTAAATACTGATGTTTGTAAAAATCAATTTTTATTCGCATTTTAGATTTTTCCTCTCATTGGTGTTATGAGCAGTTTATTCAGTATCGAACTATGAAACGAGCCCGTGATATTCGTGATCAATTCGTAGGTTTGTTAGATCGAGTCGAAATCGATTTAGTGAATAATCCACATGACCATGTGAACATTCGAAAGGTAACTAGCTATATAATATATCGTGTTGTATCAATAATTCATACGAATTTGACTTACAGTGTTCTTTTTCTTATTTTGAAGTAATCTGTCTTTTTTTACCAAGAATCAATCGCATAATTATATATTGAAACAGCTTGTTACAAAATTAATCGTAATAAGTCAAAAGATTAGTGCTGAATTGATAATGTGTCAATAGAATACTCTTACAAGTTAATAATGGGTCACTAACTATCAAAGGAGGTTACATCACTCATTGAAGTTGATGTTTAAAATTGTACTGAATATCCTTAAGGAGGATAAAGTACTTTCAAAAGTTATGCATAATAGTTTATGAACTTGATTTGAACTTCTTCAATTGAGTCATGTTGTCATCTGTGTCCAATAACCACTTAAGCAAATCCGTATGTTTTGTTCTATGCTAGTATTTTATCTTATAAACTGAAACTTTCATACTGTAAAGAAAGCTATCTGATGTGATTGAATTGAGACATGTATACTATTAAATGCTGAATCTCCAGGAGACCTGTCGTTCCTATGTTTCCATCCCCGTTAAGGTCGTGAATTTACACTTCTAATGAAACCCTTACTACAAAAGTGTTTTCTTTCTATCATTTTCTTATCATGTTTCTATTGTTTTTTATTTTATTCCTTGTTCTTTATTATTAACTGTTATTAGGCTATAACTGCTGGATTTTTCTATCATACAGCACGATTCACTGGTGATGGTTATAAAACTGTAAAACAAAAGCACACAATTTATCCACATCCAAATTCATGTCTATCTGAAGCATTGCCAAAATGGGTTATCTATCATGAATTGGTATATACAACCAAGGAATTCATGCGTCAAATTATTGAAATTGAATCAAAGTGGCTGTTGGAAGTTGCACCGCATTATTATAAAGAAAAGGAAATTGAATATACTACCGAAAAAGTTTCTAGAAATAAAGGTAAATCACGTGCCGAATTGGAGCCAACTGAAGGTGTTTAATGATAATAAAAATAAAACATGACATGTACATTTTGTGATTTAAAGCGAGGCAGACAGACAGATGGAGACTTAGAATATATATTTTTAGTGTTGTACATTTCCATTTTGACTTTAATATCTTGTTTTTTTTCCCAAGGAAAAAAAATGATTTCTGTACAGTTTTGTATTTTAAAGTTTTAACTTAGATTATTCAATTTTTTACAAAAATGAAATGTAAAAATTGATTCAAATAACTACGTCTTTTGTAATTAGCTTTTCATCATCATGAGTCTATACATTTATACAACTTAAAATTGGCAAACTGTATGTAAATAGTCACTTGCCAAGAATTCATAAAAAGTTCAAACAATGCTATCTAGTATTATAGGCAAAGGTGGATAGTGGCTAGCAGTGGAATCCAGGACGCGCGTTTCGTCCTATTTGGGACTCGTCAGCTGGATGTACCTGCATCTCAGAGTTGATGTTCACTACTAAACATCAATGGGAAGGTTCAAATAAATAAATAAATAAAACAATATCAAGTGAATTAAACTTCACCTCATTGCACAAGCAAGTGGCTATCAGGAATCAGTAGCTAAGTGGATAACACGATGGCGTTTGAAGCGGACGGTACTGGGTTCGAGTCCCGGAGTGAAGGCAATATCGAGGTATACGCACAGTATGCACATATGCCAATAAGAGACTGAACAATTTCAGTCCTAAACATCAATAGGAAGATTCAAATAAATAAAAAAATGTCAAGTGAATTAATGCTATCTAGTAGCATAGAGGATAATGTTTTGTTCGTTTTAGTGATGTCTATATATGTATATATATAATTTTCAGTGTAACCCTTATTACTTGTAAATAGTTGAGAAATCAAATGAAAATTCTATTATTTTGTCCAACCGCTTAAACGAAAGTAGATGCAGTTATAATAGTCTGGCTTCAGTATCACAATCAACACTGCAGGTGCATCCAACTGGTTAATCAATTATAGAACAGAACTTACGTGTCATATTTCACTGTTGGCCACAAACCAACTTAATTAAAAATAGGTGAAGTTATGATAAGCTGGTTATTAGAATTCAATTAAATAACTCAACATCGACGTATTTGCTGTCACCTCAAGACCTTAGATTTCAATCTAACAAAGATTAACAGTATCCGCTATTAAACATTTATGAACTCTTATTCTGGTATTTTTATTGATCACCCAATAATAATACATCAGTAAATTAACAACAGGTTCGCGAGTATAAACTTTTGGTTAGGTCAGCAAAATCCAATGACATGGTGGGAAACAGGAAGTTGTGATAGTTTAAGTACAAGAACTTACAAATCGTAAAAGCGTTGAGTAGTGTCAGAAACCTCTCATTTTTGTGTAATAAATCAGACGGAATCCCTTCAACATTAACAGAGCATGTGAAAACTCAGAGGTCAAAAAAAGCTTACACTTATATAAGTGACGTTTGACTTCGTTTTTATTACACAATCTCCAAATTTGTGATTCTAATGGGGTTTCTAAGTGCTTTTCATATCCCAGGCTAAAAATCTAACTATGGTATTTAGAAGGATTAATTGTATAATCATTAGAAATAGATTATCGTTTAACGAAGGCCAAGAATATATTTCAATAGAATTTAAGGAAGGAACTGGCATGCATGCAACGGGATCATCCGTATACTTAGCACAAGTGTTTTTGGTAGATGATTGGTCATGCAGAATAATGGGGTAACAACAGCTCCTTGCAGTACACTGATTTTGGCTAATAAATACGTGAAATACTTTCCTTTAAGCTCAGCACACTGTTCTCTTCCAGTGAAGTAAGAACACCCCCAGTTGGTTATTCAGTTCTTGGTGTTAAACACTAGGAAAATTCCTTAACATTCGTAGTTATGGAACAGAATCCAAAACAGAAGTGTGGTCTATAAATACTAATCTAACATTCTTTTTGATCCTTACCAAACTGGAAATTATACACACTATGGTGCAAGACGACTGCAGCATCCGAAGTGTCTCGTTCCTATCTGTAAACAAATTAACTTAGATCAGTATGTTCCTTCAATGTAAGCGAGTTTTTGCATCGTTTTTAGAGATGACATTATCGATGTTCGTCGAAATCTTTCATGTTTATCACCGGATACGATGTTTGGTATTGGGATTATCTTTAATTTTCTCCACATTTTCAACATAAAATTAGTTGGAAACGATTTATTATAGATGCTCTTTAATGGATAAAATAGAGCATCTGTACATTTTTACAAAATGGGGTTGGAATTTCGTCTGTTTCTAAAACGACTTGAAGCATTTAAAAATATCATTTTGAGCAAACTTGGTGACAAAATTTCCTCGAACATGGAAAAACAGGGAACATGATATCATATCTTGTATATTTTCCTCTGAGTTATTTTTATGTTTGAATTTCTTTGTCTAGGGAAAAATGTATTGTTTCCAAGCTTGACACATACTTTGGATGAATTATACAGTGATCAGAACTAAACGGAAGAATAAGTTTGCTAGTCGCATATATTTCTACATCTTTAATGAAAACTAAATCTAAAACATCAGAACGGGAGGAGAAATCGACCAGATTCTAGCGACCTAGAGATGAAAGAAAGCTACGGTCGGATGACCTAAAGTCACTACACGTGATTGAAAGGAAACCACTGATGGTAGTAGCAGCAAATTGAGTGAACCCATCAATGAAAACAAATAGTGCAGATGAGATGCGTTTTGGAGTCATGTAAATGTTGAAAATATAAATACCACTGTATTTGTTTAAATGTTTTGGATACCATTTCAACAGAAAAAAGTTGATGACATTGTTTAATACATAGATTGGTACCAGTTCACATTTACAAACGTGGCTACGCTATCACTCTACTGCTTAGATAATCTCGATGATAGATATCAAATTGGCGTCATGTGGATGATAACTTTTAAACTATGATTACACTGCAATTATGGTATACGTTCAGGGTTAGTAAAAATTAAAGATAGTCCATTTTTCCCATTGGCAATTCGAAGTGAATGGTAAGCAGTTTAGGAGCAGATATTTGATTAATATTCATTTGTTTTAATTCATAGTACCAACTACTGAGAAATCTTCCATTGAATGTCATTGCATTTTGCATAACAACAGATTGCAGACATTTATTCACTAAAGTCAATAGGTTATTTAGTTTCTTTGCATAATTACAGAGTTGAGATAAATTTAAAAATTAGAATATAACTTGTTTACATATTTGAATGGCAGAAAAAATATGTATCCCAGACATCCAAATAGGCCGCTAAATCCTACTTACTATGAAATTAAATTCTAATCTATAAAATTCATGTCAGTAAAAAACGCATTTTCATTTTTATCATTTATGTAAATAAAATAGTAAAGTGTGAATGAAAATTCCACACGTCAACTTGGGTAATCTTAGTCAATAATTTTTTTTGATTATTGAAAGTATTCTATCCCATATAATATGTAAATAGTCAGAGATACACTACTATTTATTTATTGGTATTCAAAGTAGAACTGATCAGTTGAAAATAGCCCCTCGAAAATATGCTTCAATATTGCCTACCCGTATTATCTAAATATATTGTTGAACAGAGACCGATTGAATCAAATGGTTCATGTTTTGCCTAATAAAAGATTTATCAGCTTGATATATCTCTATCTTAGTATTAATGTTTCCAACGTGTTTCGACGCTAGTACATATTAGTTCCATATGTATTCACACTATTCTTTATTCGACTGTCACATGAATAATTTATTTATTAGCTTGCATGGAATATCATGTTAGTTGAATGTTTCATATTTTTACGTTTTTTTTTAGTATTTTTGGCGGCCTTGTATATATGTCATGACAGTTGGACAAGTTGACAGCCATGAAAATTATGCTGTTCAATAGATGACTCCATGAATTTAAGTATCAGTAGCAACATCAACACTGAAATCCAAGCAGATAAAACTGATGAATTACTTACTTACTCACTCCCGTTACTCTCAGTGAAGCATATGCCGCCGATCAGCATTCTCCAACCCACTCTGTACTGGGCCTTCCTTTATGGTTCTATCCAATTGTTGTTCATTCTTCTCAAATTTGTCTCCATTTCACCGCGTAATGTGTTCTTTGGATTTTCTCTTCTCCTTTGGCCTTGAGGATTTCATGTGAGGGCTGGTCTTGTGACGCAGTTCGGTGCTTTCCTCAATGTGTTTCCTATCCACTTCGAGCCCTTCTTCCTCCTCTGGGATCTGGTTTGTTCTCTCCCATAATAGGTTGTTGCTGATAGTGTCTTGCCAACCGATCCGAAGTATTTTGCGTGGACAGCTGCTAATAAAATCTTATATCTTTTGAATGATGGCTTTCGTAGATTTCCAGGTTTCCGCTCCATACAGTAGAACAGTCTTGATATTTGTATTGAAAATACTGACCTTGGTGTCGGTTACCGATTGTTTTGAGTTCCAGATGTTCTTCAGTTGTAAATATGTTGCTCTTGATTTGCCGATTCACGCCTTTACATCTGCATCCGATACATCGTATTCATCAATGATGCTGCTCAGATATGTAAAAGTTTTTACACCTTCCAAATCTTCTCCGTCAAATGTGATTCGATTAGTGCATGTTCAAATCACATTGACGAATTACAAATTAGATAAAACATATACTCTATATTTCACTACTAACCATCATTTCAATAAATATACTCAATGTTTTTATTATTAAAAATTGAGTACTCTATACTTAAATCGTGACTTTATTTAATAAATTTTCATTAGTTAATTCTTTTCTTTAATATTCATAATGAGAATAAATCAATTTATAATTATTAATACTGTTATATTTTTTAATCTCTAAACTATAATTTTTTCTCATTTTTCTAAATTTATCGGATTAATTTGTTTAGAATACGGGTTGAACTGATCCAGAGAATTATTGTGAGTGGATAAATAATAAAGGGTTGAATATATTCCAATGTTTTTTTCTTTTTTAAACGTAACATTGTTAAAATGGGGGGAAAAGAAATGATATTTCCTTCCGTTTGTTTTTTCTAAATAAAATAATAGTCGTTTATATAAAGTGGATTTATTTATTTTATAATTTATCATTTATTCTCTTATACACAGTTTGATATAATAAACTTATATATATATATATATATATATATATATATATATATATATATATATATATCATGAGTCAATTGAAGCTAGACCACTATGCAAAACCTGGTCCTAGTATGAGA